ACAACAATTAATTGGTTTCAAATGTGCTGAGAGAACCATGCCTTGACTTGACACGTTTTTTGTCAAAGAAAACACGCAGTCGGAATCATAAAATATTGTAAATTAACAGCATCCTTATGGCCATTTGAGAAGACCTTTTATGGACTATCAATCTCTTCTGAATACCAATATTAAGTTGAGAACGCTTCGCTTGACATATATATTCCCAAATCAGCTTTTAGTGCACATAAAGTTATTCAGAAAAGCCATTTTGAGGTAAACTTCGACAGAGGGTGAAATTTTTCGTGAATGTTATTCATCATCCCAATACCCAATGTTATTCATGTGTTGTTCGTGTTTTATGAATAAGCTATTTGTAACTCATTCACGTCCTCGTTGTAGTATGCCAGGCACAGGTTTCAAAGCAATGCGGCTATAAAGTGAAGTCGGAGAAGTTGCATTACTTTCTTGGCTGACGGAAACAGGACTGCAATTTCGGAATTTCTTTAGTTGGACAGCGTAATCGATCTGAACTTAAGAATACTTGGAATAGTTTCAATGAAGCTGCCAATTGAATACCAACCCAATATTAATCAAATCACCTTCATAAATGGGAAAATATAAAGTGAAACGTGCCCTTTAGAAGTTTCCTAAAGGTATATTACATTCTCGAACTTGCCATATACCTATACATTAAAACTTGCCCCTAATTTTCGAAATAACAGCCAAACCGCTAGGGATTCGCAAACTTTCACAAAATTCTTTTTTAAGTTATAAGTTTCTACTCTCTGCGGAACTCCAACTTTATCAAGAAGTGAACGGATAATTAATTATTGAAAACCAGGTCCTGGTTTGCCTGAAGGCAATTATGTAAAAATGTAGTTTCAAAAGCACACAAAACCTACAGATTAGCAATTCCTCCACATCCGAGAAAGTTTTCAGTCGTTTTTAATTCCAAATTACCGACAATATAATTATTTAATCAAACACACAAAAGGCATCTTTCGTTTTGAGTTTAATTGCAATCAGCCGTTGACATGTTCAGCAACCCTCGATCAATCTATAATTGAAATTAATGCAAACTATTAATACATTATTAATTTGACAATCAATAAAGCACTCGCTATGGGACAGTGAACCAAAGCTACAGAAAAGAAATTTTAATCAGCTAATTTCGGAGCCTATTAAAATATAATTAATGCAATTTGCTACAATTATTAATATACTAAAATTCCCAAAACTCATAATCCGGTTTCGAATGAGCATCGGAAGCTAGTTGACACCTCAATGTTGGTTGACAACAAATTGCTTTGATTATATATTGCAAAAAGGAAAAAAACATTTTATTTCCAAAATTTTACTTATATAAAGAATTACTTCTTTCGTAGAGAGTTTTTCTCGATACAGCTGTATAAATTCAATATATTGACGAAGTATCCCTACAATAATTGTAGTCATCAAGACCAAAGCACTGAGAGAATCTTGGTTGACTATTTCATTCACAACCAGGCATGTTCCTAGAAGAAAGTTTGTAGGCAAGAAATATTTCACTATCAAAGTCATATGAATACATTTTTTTAACTCTAACGAATGCGTGGTGGAGACGTTTTTTTGCTGCTTTTAG